GCCGGATCCCAAACCCCTCTAAGCTTTTTTCGAGTTAATCGCGGAGGCTGTGACTTCAAAGCAGTCCCTAAGGGAAATGCAAAGGCGTACCCTTGGTAAATTTCTGATACTCTTGTACGGCACTAGCGGTCCGAAGGGAATGGGAATGATGCAAGTCATCCTGACGCGTGCAACTTTGCAATTGGCGTTGCCTTAGTGCAAGATTTGTTTTCGAAATGCCGTACAATGCACGATACGCGGGCCCTCAATTTTTGAGACTAGGCAGTGTGGAAGATGTTAGTGCTCAACTAGTCGTCCTTGGAGTCATCCAAGGCCGCTAACTCGTGCACGCACCATTGATGATGCAAGATGATCTTTCGTTTCGTCGAACTGAGCTCTGGTACCAGATGACGCCGAATTGAATCCAGGTGTATGGACAGAATGAAGAGAACAACGAATAAGAGGGAAAGAGAATAATGGCTAGGGGAAAACTCCACGCTAGGATTATGATACAATATGAAAAGTAAAGTTTGAATGAAAGAACCCCACAAGCCGGCCTAGGAATGAGAAATAAATGGGCTGAACAAAAAGCAGGCCATAGGCCAAGAAACAATAAAACTGCAAAATGGCGGCCTAAACGAGCGAATTTGAGGTCATAACTGAAGGACTATGGGCTCCGCCTCATCGGCCCCCTGTGCGTCTCATTGAGTCCTTTCCAGAAAGTGGTCGCACGCTGAAAACGGACACTCCTAGCAAAAGTTATGACCAAAAATTGGACTCCCCAAGGGGCTACTTCCCCAAAAGTTTGCTAGTGCGTTTTGCATATTTGTATGATCCAAGAATGATGTTTCGCTACGGGCTGTGACGAAGATTTGGCTTCGTGTTTGAGTTTGGGGCCCGTTTGGTGAGTGTGACTCTACAACAAATCGCATCTGCTGCTGCAACTTGGGTTTATGTTTTTTAAGCATATATAGGGGGGGTACGTTCCGTGAAGGTTTTTTTGGCTGGTTTTAAAAGGCTTGGTTTTTGCCCTTGCTAGGCCGTGTGTTACCTCCTGCGCACCGATGTGACATCGGTGGGCATGATCATGTTTTCACATGCTCGCTTGGGGAATGCCGGCTATCGTTGCATCATGTAGCGGGGGGCATGGTCAGTGAAGGTTTTTCCGGTCGGTTAAAAAAAGGCTTGGCTCTTGCTCTTTTCCGTTTGTTTTTTCGGCGTTTGCAAAGCAAAATGCCATTAAACAAGTTCATATAGCTTTTGTATCTGGAAATCAAATTTTGGGTGGCATGCCTTTTGTTTTTCACATGTGGTTTTTGAAGTGTGGGCTTTCGGAGAACCACTGCTTTTACCGTTTTGGCTATTGCTT